TGGTGTTATATGTCGATGACATATTACTCATTGGTAACGACGTTCCAACCTTGAGAGATGTTAAGTCTTGGCTTGGAAAGTGTTTTGCCATGAAAGACCTTGGAGAAGCTGCCTATATTCTTGGGATTAGAATATTGAGAGATAGAAAGAAGAGACTAATTGGACTTAGTCAGAGCACATACTTGGATAAGGTACTAAAGAGGTTTAGTATGGAAAATTCCAAGAAGGGAGAGCTACCTATCCAGAGCAATACCAAATTGAGTAAGACTCAATGCCAGAGTACAGATGTTGAAATAGATGACATGAGTCGTGTACCTTATGCTTCCGCTGTCGGATCGATCATGTACGCTATGACATGTACTCGCCCTGATGTGGCATTTGCTTTGAGCATGGTCAGTCGCTATTAGGGAAACCCGGGTAGAGCTCATTGGATAGCAGTAAAGAACATACTCAAGTATTTGCGAAGGACGAAGGACTGGGTCCTTGTACTTGGTGGCAATGATACTTTGAGAGTAGATGGTTACAGTGATGCCAACTTTTAGACGGATAGAGATAACTTCCGTTCACAGTCAGGCTGGGTATTTCTACTGAACGGAGGAGCAGTTACTTGGAAAAGTTCGAAGCAAAATACGATGACTGATTCTACTTGTGAATCAGAGTACATAGCAGCGAGTGAAGCGTCGAAAGAAGCAGCTTGGTTGAGGAACTTCATCGGAGATCTCGGAGTTGTTCCAACCATCCAGGAGCCTATGGAACTGTTCTGCGATAATGAAGGAGCGGTTGCCTTGACAAAGGAACCAAGAGATCATGGTAAAACCAGACATATCGACAGAAAGTACCATTTTATCAGACATAGAGTAGAAGAAAGCCATCTTGTAGTAAAGAGGGTGTCATCTGAAGATAACCCAGCAGACCCCCTCACAAAGGGTCTGAGTAGGGCTAAGCATATTCAGCATGCTGGGAGCATAGGACTGAAAGATGATATTAGTTTTAGTAGTTAGATTAGTTTTGTTCTGAAACTTGTAACAAAGTAAATGTAATTGACTTTTGGTGATTAAATAATAAAGTACTATTTATAAGTTTGGTTACTGCCTTTTGTCGATTGGTTGTTATTGTGTTTCATATTTTGCTTGTTTTTACTTCCCGAGTAATTTAATTATTCAAACTCCACAGTCGCTCGTACTTCTGGAAGTAAGTAGTGAATTAAGACTGTCGTGAATTAGATTGCAGATTGTCTGAGGATAGACATGGCAATAGAATTGCTGCAATGTTCATGAGTACTCAGAAATTGAGATTTGAGTATTGGATAAACCCTCGCTCAGAGTATCACTTCATGGAATTCATCACGAGTAATACTGAGACGATAATATCTTATAATCTTGAAACGAAGATATATGAGTTGTAATTTACAAGTCGGCCATGCATTGGTGATACGAAAACGCATCAGTAACTTGGTGTTATAAAACGTACCGTCATGTATAATTTGATGAGTAAAAGATACAAGCATATGAGTCAACGTTTATTCGTTCCTTTTGCCCTAAACGGAAAAGCGATATCTGTGGGCCCCTCGATGATTTGGTGTTGACTTATGTGTTGGGCCCAGTCAGGACTAAATTGATGTGTTCGATTAGAAGTCCTACATCATCACAAATCAGAAATTAGGAAACATAGATTCTGGACAAAGAGATTAATTACGTTCCATGTCTTATGTCCCTGATATGCTAGGCGAGGTACCGGTCGAAAGGACTGAAGGGGTAGGCCAGCACCCTAATATGATAGGCAATTTACCGGTTGAAAGAGACCGAAGGGGTAGGCCAACTGTTGGATTAGGTGTCTAAGCCCATAACTATAATTGGTATGTACTTGAATTGATAGCAGCACATTCCTTTTGGGTTGCCCTCAACCTAGCAACTGGACAAGGAAATTATGAAAGGAGAGATATTAATTTATAAGATTAATAAATTAATATATATAAATGATTTATTGATATGTTAATAGATTAATATATTAATTAGAAATCATTATGTTTAATTAATAGTTAGCCAGAAATTAATCAGAATTAATTTTGGGGTTAAAAGTATTAATTGTAAAGTGCAGGGACTAGTTTGCAATTAGCTAATAGTTGAGTGGAAGGCTCTAGAATCTCCTTAGAAGGAGGTGGACGAAATCTATAGGGGAAACCCTAAGGATTTCGTCCAAGGGGGCTTTGGATAAGGCCCTTGGGTTTGCTTAAGCCCTAAGCAAAGGAGCATTAGGGTTTTCCCAAAACCCTATATCCCTCAGCTATATAAGGAGCCTCCCAGCTCTCAAAATCGGTCACCACTTCTGGGAAAAAACCCTAGGCCGAAATTGCATACTCTCTCTACCCTCTCTCCTCCAAGTTTCCTTCTTGCTAGTTCTTGGGTGTGATTCCATTAGAGGCATTACATTTGTGGTGCTAGGCTTCCAAGAAGATCAAGATCAAGATCAAGAGGATTATCAATTGTTTGCTATAACAATTGAAAGGTATGTATCTCCTAAACCCTAGTTCGTTAATTTCGAAATTGGCCTCTCTCCTCTAGGGTTCTTATTTGCAATTCAAAGTTGTATGTTCAATAGCTAAAACATAGATCCAAAGTAGGCTGCATGTGAACTTAGGAATTGTTTCTGGTTTGTTTGTTTTACCTAAAACCCATCACCAACACCCTGATATGCTAGGCAGTTACCGGTTGAAAGAGACCGAATGGGTAGTCCAGTACCCAAATATGTTAGATAGTATGTTTATTGTATAGTATGTGATATGATGGGGGAACTCACTAAGATTTGTGCTTACGGTTTTCCATTTTTGTTTCAAGTCCTTCTTCTTCGAAGGGAAAGGAGTCGGCACGATAGTAGCGCATCACACCACGATTTTCCGCACTATGATGTTCTTGGGATTTTGTACTCTGACATTATTATATTATGACATGTTTGGAGACATGACGTATGAGTTTTTATGAAATGAGATAACTTCATGATGTTTTCAATAATCTGTTTTTATGAATTATTAAATTAAAAATGAAATTTTTTGTCTTGAATTTTGGGATGTTACAGTTTTATCCAAAGTAATATTCATAAACATGTAGGAAACATCAATACGATTTCCGTAAATATATAGAACGCCCGAATCCGACTTCGTATGAAGAAGTTAAGCTTCTTCGAAGTTTCGCGATTAAACCGACACAACTATGTGCGTCGTAAAATTCAAATTAGAGATAGATTACTTATTAGCCTTAGGGAGTTCCCCAAAATACCATATACCACAATACATATACAACGCATACACATAATGACCTTCAACATAAAGCTGGCCCGCCCCTGGCCTTTAGCACGAAGCTGTTCCGCTCCTTTTTGCCTACAATGTAAAGCTGGTCCGCACTTTGGCCTTCAGCATGAAGATGGTCCTCCCGATTCTATTGGTCTTCAGCACGAGGATGGTCCGCCCTCAACTCCCCACATAATATATCAATTGTAACACCCTATTTTCACCTTCTCGTAAATTTCAATATAAACATTATTTATAGAATTTGAAGTAGAGTATATTACGTTTTATCCAAAGTAATTGTCATAAACATGTAGGAAACATCAATACGATTTCCGTAAATATATAGAACGCCCGAATCCGACTTCGTATGAAGAAGTTATGCTTCTTCGAAGTTTCACGATTAAACCGACACAACTATGTGCGTTGTAAATTTTGAATTAGAGATAAATTACTTATTAGCCTTTGTGAGTTCCTCCAAATACCATATACCACAATACATATACAATCCATACACATAATGACCTTCAACATAAAGTTGGTCCACCCTTGGCCTTCAGCACGAAGCTAGTCTGCACTTTGGCCTTCAGCATGAAGATGGTCCGCCCGATTCTATTGGTCTTCAGCACGAGGATGGTCCGCCCTTGACTCCCCACATAATATATCAATTGTAACACCCCATTTTCACCTTCTCGTAAAATTCAATATAAACGTTGTTCATAAAATTTGAAGTAGAGTATATTACGTTTTATCCAAAGTAATCGTCATAAACATATAGGATATCAATACGATTTCCATAAATATATAGAACGCCCGAATCCGACTTCGTATGAAGAAGCTATGCTTTTTCGAAGTTTCGCGATTAAACCGACACAACTATGTGCGTCGTAAAATTCGAATTAGAGATAGATTACTTATTAGCCTTAGTAGTGATCCCAATGAAAGTCGTAGTAATCCTAAGACCGATAGCGTACATGTAGAGAATATCCAAATCTGAATTCGTATGGGAAAGTTATGCTTTTTCGATGTTTCTGCGTAGTAGTACGGACAAAGAAATCGAAATTCAAATCGGTTGACTGTTGGCCGAGACAATCTAAACGAAAGTTGAAGATCTCGTGAATATGAACATGTCGATATAAAGATAGTCGAAAACATAGTTCGTACGAAAAAGTTATGAATTTCGCTTAAAGTTTAACAATCTAAATCGATCTAAATATGGATTTTTTTAAAAACTTTTTACTCATTTTAGTGACAGAATACCTACGGAAAATCCGTTGGTAATTTTTTCCGTCGGAAATCCGTAGGTAACAAAGTCAATGTCAGTCAAAACGGTCCCATTGATAATCTGTAGGAGCTTCGTCGTTATTTCTTTCCGTAGGTAAATTTGAGCCGTCAATAATCCGTAGGAAATCCGTCGCTATATCTCTTCGTAGGTATTCGGTCGGTAAATTACCTACGGAAATAAGCCTTCGGTATTATTTACCCACGAGCGTTTATATTACGACCTTATTTCCATCGTAATTGCGTAGGTATAGTGGTATACCTATAGAATACCTATTGATTGTGCTCAAAATATTATCATATTTTCTAATAGTGATTAAGAGGTGGCAATACCAAGACTTTTCAAAGTTGAGCCAACAACCCTTTTAATTGTATAACTACTATTTATAAAAACGAATAATTAATAAAGAGAGACCTCCATAAGCAGACAACTAAAGTCATGTTCACCTTCGCTTCACCCCTCTTTTCTTTGCTCCTACTCTTCTCCACCACCACCACCACCACCTCCCAACCATACAAGCCCACCGACTATTTCCTACTCAACTGCGGATCATCCATCACCACCACCACTTCTGACCGGTTATGGCAAACCGACGAACATTCGAAATTTGTACCCTACAACATGACCACCACCTCCTTCCCATCCACCCCCTACCACCACGATCCTTCAGTCTCCGAAATCCCGTACTCCACCGCCAGAATCTTTAACACCTCTTAATTCACATACTCATTTCCAGTTAACCACGGGCCTAAATTCCTCCGCCTTTATTTCTACCCTGCAACCTATTCCCACCTCAACGCAAACCAGTCTTTCTTCTCTGTATCATCCAATGGTCACTCTCTCTTATCAAACTTCAGCGCCTTCCTAACTTCATCCTATGTAGGAAGTATTCTCTCAATTGCAGGAGTCCAGGGACCCCCAGTTCCCCAACTTATTAAAGAATTTATCATATATGTAAACGACACCCAAAACCTTAACGTCACCTTTACACCCTCACCCAACTCATATGCCTTCATTAATGGTATTGAAATCGTTTCATTGCCGGAAACTCTGTATTTTAAAACAAAGAATTTGAAATACGTCGGTCAAATTACAGGACCTGTGATTGCAAAAGACACGGCTCTCGAGAGTATTTATCGGTTAAACGTCGGTGGGCGACAAATATCTGTCAACGATGATACCGGTATGTATAGATCATGGGATGGAGATGAAAATTTCATATTCCCCCGAAATGCGCTTGGGTTTACGCCTACTACTCAGATTCCGATCACGTACACCGCGGAAACACCCAAGTATACTGCACCTGAGCTTGTTTATCAAACCCAAAGGAGTATGGGCACACTGTCGACCTACTACAATCTGACCTGGATACTTCCCGTTGATTTAGGATTTTGGTACATGCTCAGGCTCCATTTTTGCAGCATTATACCACAATACACGTTTGAAAGACAGATGATTTTTGAGATCTTCATCAATAATCAAACTGCTGAAGACAAAGCTGATCTGTTCTTCTGGACTCCAGGCAGCGGTTATCCGGTATTCAAGGATTACGTTGTGTTTGTCGGCAACCCAGAAGGCCAGCGCAGCAAGCAAGATTTGTGGCTCGCAGTGCATCCTAATGAAGAATCTCTAAATATCGTGATGGTTTTTTGAATGGCTGGTAGTCTAGCTAGCCCCAACCCGGAGCTAAGTCCTAAACCACCACCGCCAAGGCCGTCGTCTCCCGGTGAAGTGACCACAAAGAAAACTCCACCATATGCTGCAATAATCGGAGGTGGTGGGAGTGGACTAGCCTTGTTATCTGCTTTAGGGTTTATAGTTTTCCGGCGAATTCGAAAGCCAGTAATTGAAAAGTCCTCCAGTCAACCAAAATCTAAAAAGTCTGGCCAGCTCCAATCAGGTCGGTGTCGTCGTTTTTCAGTCAAGGAAGTAAAAGACGCAACCAATGTAAATGTAATTCAGAATATTAAAAGTTTGTATATAAGTCTAATTAGGAATTAGGAAGTTTTGCTTGGTCAACAAGTCTAGGAAAGTAGAGGTCACGATTTTTTTTCCTATATATAGGTGTAATTATTTACTTTTTCTTAGATGAAGAACTTGAGCCTTAAGCATTAAAAAGTTTTCTCCTTGCTCCATATTTTTTTCCCAGCACGTTTTTTTCCCTTGCTGTCTATTGTCCTTCTTTGTTTGTTTTGCTTTCTTCCTGCTTTGTTTTGATTCATAATAGCAGATTAAAGCAAGCAAATTATCATTGTTTAAGAAGTTTAAACCAACATTTGGTATCAGAGCGAATCTGGTGCGATGTCGAACAAAGAAGGATCGGTTACTCTTCAATACCCAATGCTGTCTAAGACGAATTACGCAGCATGGTCGATAAAGATGAAGATTTACATGGAAGCTCAAGAGGTGTGGGAAGCCATAGAGCCGAAGAACCCACAAAATCCGGTGGGTGTAAAGAGAGACAAGATGGCGATGGCTGCCATCTACCAAGCAATTCCTGAGGAGGTTCTATTGACAATTGCGGAGAAGCAAACGGCAAAGGAAGCTTGGGAAACACTCAAGACGATGTACTTGGGAGCAGATCGAGTCAAAACAGCCAAAGTTCAAACTCTCAAAGCTGAATTTGAGATGATGAACATGAGTGAATCAGAGACCGTGGACGATTTTTCTACAAAACTTGGAGGTATTGTGAGCAATATTCGTGCTCTTGGTGAAACCGTTCAAGAATCCTACATAGTAAAAAAGTTATTACGAGCCGTGCCTTCCAAATTTGTTCAACTTGCATCAACAATTGAACAATTTGGAGATCTAGACGAGATGACGTTTGAAGAGGTGGTCGGAAGATTAAAAGCTCATGAGATTCGTATTGGGGCTCATAAAGAACCCGAGGAGAAGAAGCTATTGTTAACGCATGAAGAGTGGACGGAACGAGCAAAGAAGAAAATTAATGAAGATCGTTCAAAACAACGCAAAAACAATTATAACAATAATCGAGGTGGAAAAGGACGAGGACAAGGAAAAGGTGGTTACAACAACTCCAACAAAGGACGAGGTGGTGGTAATCAACAAAACAAAGGAAAGAATGAATCGTATCAACCTCGTGACAAATCAAAAGTTCAATGTTATAATTGTCAAGAGTTTGGTCATTACGCTGCTGAGTGTAAGAACCCACGTCGTGAGAGGAATCATGAAGCTAACCTAACTCAAGGACAGAATGATCATGAGCCGGCACTTCTGCTTGCAGCCCAAGTAAACGATGAAGTTTACTTGAATGAGGAAAAAGTTAATCCCAAGCTAAGATCAAGTGAACAAACTCCAACCCAATCAAAAGTGTGGTATCTCGACAATGGAGCAAGCAACCACATGACTGGCGAAAAAAGCAAATTTCGAACACTTGATCTGTCTACTAGAGGTTATGTGAAATTTGGTGATGGATCTAAAGTTCGAATAGAGGGGAAGGGTTCAATCATGTTCAAATGCAAGAATGGTGAAAGTAGATTGTTGAAAGAGGTATACTATATACCAAGGTTATGTAGCAACATTATTAGTTTGGGACAATTAGCTCAACATGGAGATCGGATTGTGATGCTTGGATTATATTTATGGATTCATGATCCACAAGGAAAACTATTATTGAAGGTTCAACAATCAAGTAATCGTTTGTACAAGGCCATACTTGAAGAAGAAGTTTCAAAGTGCTTACTTGCAGAACAAGGCGAGGCATCTTGGCTATGGCACAAGCGGTTTGGACATGTTAACTTCAATGCACTAAAACACATGGCTGATACAAGTATGGTGGAAGGCTTACCCAGAATTGAAATTCCTACAAGCTTGTGTGAAGCTTGCTTAATCTCCAAGCAAGCTCGAAAATCCTATCCAAAGCACACCAAATTTAGAGCTAAAGAACGACTAGAACTCGTGCATGGAGATCTTTGTGGTCCGATCACACCACCAACACCAGCTGGAAATAGATATTTTATGTTACTTGTCGATGACTATACACGAGTTATGTGGGTTTATATGTTGAAAAACAAGGATGACGCTTTAATTGCTTTTAAGAAATTTAGAGCACAAGTTGAAGTTGAAACGGGTTTAAAATTAAAAAACTTTCGAACCGACCGGGGTGGTGAATTTTTATCAACACAATTCACTACATATTGTGAAGAAACCGGGTTGAAACGCCACTATACAACACCATATTCCCCTCAACAAAACGGTGTTGTAGAAAGACGCAACCGAACAGTAGTAGAGATGGCGAGAAGCAATCTAAAAGGGATGAATGTTCCAGAAGTCTTATGGGGTGAAGCCGTAAGTCACTCAGTCTACATCCTAAATCGTATAACCACAAAAGCCTTAAAAGAGTCAACACCTTACGAGCTATGGACCGGTCGAAAGCCAAACATTGATCATATGAGAGTTTTTGGGTGTGTTGCTTATGCAAAAATAGTTGGCACACATCTAAAAAAACTAGATGATAGAAGTAAGAAGCTAGTACACTTGGGAGTTGAAAAAGGTACAAAAGGTTATCGGCTACTTGATCCGGAAACCGGAGCAATTCGAGTGGGAAGAGATGTAATTCTCGAAGAAGATGCTAAGTGGGAGTGGGGACCTACAACAAAGTTCAAAACCATGACAAATGAAACATTCACCTTTGATATCATGCTTGATATTGAAGCTGAACAGGAAGAAGATATCCATCCAGATTTTAATGAAGAATATACACCACACGATAGCCCGGTTACACCTCAATCATCACTTGATAGTGCATCCGAAAGTGAAGCTCCACAAAGATATCGTAGTTTGGCCGATATTTACGAAGAAAGTGATGAACTTATGTTTTTACAAGACGAAGAAGAACCAGTAAATTTCTCAAGTGCAAGTGAAAGTGAAGAATGGATGGAAGCTATGAAAAGTGAGTTAAGTGCAATTGAGAAAAATAAAACATGGAGTTTAGTTGAGTTGCCAAAGGATAGAAGACCCATTGGCTTAAAGTGGGTGTACAAGATCAAACGAGACCCGAATGGAAAAATATTAAAATATAAAGCAAGGCTAGTCGCTAAAGGCTACGTACAAAAACAAGGCATAGATTTTGATGAAGTGTTCGCACCGGTTGCTCGTTTGGAAACCATTCGAATCATACTTGCTCTTGCTGCTTCAAATCAATGGAATGTACATCACCTTGATGTAAAATCAGCTTTCTTAAATGGCAATCTAGAAGAAGAAGTTTATGTGACACAACCGGAGGGATTCGTGAAGAAAGATAAACCAAAAATGGTGTACAAATTAGCAAAAGCTTTGTATGGTTTGCGCCAAGCTCCACGAGCTTGGAATTTTCGCTTAAACCAATGCATGAAAGAGATGGGGTTTGAAAGGTGTCCACAAGAGTATGCAGTTTACACGAAGAAAAACAAGGGGAGCATACTAATAATTGGTGTCTATGTTGATGATCTAATTGTCACCGGAAGTCACAAGGATGAGATAATCAAGTTCAAACAACAAATGAGCAAGGAGTTTGAAATGAGTGACCTTGGGATGCTAACTTACTATTTAGGCATCGAGGTTAATCAACATAAAAATGGTCTCACATTGAGACAAACGAATTATGCTAACACCATCCTAAAGAAGGCCGGGATGTTTGATTGTAATCCTTGCAGGTACCCCATGGAGTCAAAGCTACAATTGACTAAGGATGAAGAAGGTGAACTCGTGGACCCTACCTCATATCGAAGCATCATAGGAGGGCTAAGATATCTTACTCACACACGACCCGACATAGCTTATTCTGTAGGCATTGTGAGTCGTTTCATGGAGAAACCAACCAAGCAACATCAAGTAGCAGTGAAGCACATACTAAGGTATGTAAAAGGAACTGTGGACTATGGTTTATCATATACGAAAGGTGGAAAGAATTGCGTGATTGGATACACTGATAGTGATCTAGCAAGAGATGTTGAAGATAGAAAAAGTACAAGTGGAATGGCGTTTTACTTAGACAACAATCTTGTTACTTGGAGTTCACAAAAGCAAAAGTGTGTTGCATTGTCATCATGTGAAGCAGAATTTATGGCAGCTAATAATGCAACATGTCAAGGCATTTGGATAAGTAGGTTGCTTGGTGTGTTGACCGGAAGAAAACTTGGTCCATTTGAATTGAATGTGGATAACAAGTCAGCTTTGGATTTGATGAAAAATCCAGTCTTTCATGGAAGAAGTAAACATATTGATACAAGATATCACTTCATTCGTGATCATATAGAAAGAGGCAATGTTATAGTAAAACATGTGAATACTAATGAGCAGAAAGCTGACATCTTGACCAAGCCTATGAACAAAGTGAAGTTTGAAAGCATGAGAAAGTTGCTTGGAGTTGAAGAGATAAGAGTTTCTGAATTACAGGGGAGAATGTAAATGTAATTCAGAATATTAAAAGTTTGTATATAAGTCTAATTAGGAATTAGGAAGTTTTGCTTGGTCAACAAGTCTAGGAAAGTAGAGGTCACGTTTTTTTTTCCTATATATAGGTGTAATTATTTACTTTTTCTTAGATGAAGAACTTGAGCCTTAAGCATTAAAAAGTTTTCTCCTTGCTCCATATTTTTTTTCCCAGCACGTTTTTTTCCCTTGCTGTCTATTGTCCTTCTTTGTTTGTTTTGCTTTCTTCCTGCTTTGTTTTGATTCATAATAGCAGATTAAAGCAAGCAAATTATCATTGTTTAAGAAGTTTAAACCAACAACCAATGAATTCAATGAAGACTGTATTATCGGCAAAGGAGGGTTTGGTATGGTGTACAAAGGATACGTCGACAATGCTACCACCGTGGTTGCTATCAAACGGCTGAAGTCATCATCCAAACAAGGTTTTCAAGAATTCCAAACAGAAATCGGGATGTTATCCAAACTACGCCATGCTAACCTAGTGCCGCTAATCGGATACTGTGATGACGAGGACGAAATGGTACTTGTGTACGATTACATGCCTCACGGAACTCTTCGGGAACATCTTTTACAACACAAACAACCCTAGTTTGTCGTGGAGAAAACGTCTCGATATTTGCATTGGTGCAGCCAAAGGGTTGCATTATCTCCACACGGGTGCAAACCGAGTGATAATTCATCGGGATATCAAGTCCACAAATATTTTATTGGATGAAAATTGGGTGGCGAAAGTGTCAGATTTTGGTTTGTCAAAGCTAGGACCGAAAGACCAAAGGCAAAACCATGTTAGCACAATGGTGAAGGGTACTTTTGGATATATGGATCCTGATTATTTTCGAATGCAACAACTCACGGAGAAATCCGACGTGTACTCCTTTGGAGTCGTTTTGCTAGAAGTTCTATGCGCAAGACCTGTTATAAATATAGACCTTCCTTACGAAGAAGTCAGTTTGGCAGAATGGGGAAAGTCTCATTATCGAAAAGGCACACTGCATGAAATAATTGATCAAAAACTTAGCGGTGAAATTGCACCAAAGAGTTTGATGAAGTTTGCAGAGGTGGCGAATAGTTGTTTAAATGAAAAAGGGTGCAAACGTCCATCCATGGATGAAGTAGTTTGGGGACTACAGTTTGCATTGCAGCTACAAGAAGCTGCTGAGAAAACAGGTGGCATAGTTGGTGAGTTTGTGTTGGAAAAACAAGAAGTTTTGTTTCCCATGCAAGGAGAGTCAACAACAACGTCTGAAGGATCAAGTCGATGGTTTAGGCGACATGGCATGACGTCGACTGAGAGTAGCCATGTAGGGTTAGATTCGGAAACTGGTTTTAGCGAGATGAGAGATCTTTCATAATAGACATGGTGGTTGTTTTGCGTTCCTACTTGTTAGTTAATGTTATCACATATGGATTATTAATCGTATAATTAGGTGGTGTGAAATTAAATGTATCCCTTCTGTGCTATAAATCATAGTTGTCAACATTCCACAATTGACACGAAAATGGAACTTTTTGTAAGAATAACAACGTTTTCCAATTAATTTGCAAGAATGGGCCCTTGGGATGCTTTTAGCAAAAGAAAAAGGGTCTTGGCTACACCTTTCATGGCCACTATCAATTCCATGTAGCTTTATATCTTTTAGAAAATGATCCATGAAGGTAACAAATTGTTGATATCGATTCCAACTTAACTTAACAGGTAATTTTCAACGAGTTATAAAACATATGATATAAAAAATTAAAATAGAGCAGAACAAAATCAAAAGTGTTTTGAAAATTAATATTTATGCAAAAACTTGCGACCTTTTTTTATGATATATTTTTTTTTCAAAACTAACACCACATCACTAAGTCATCGTCTAATCCATTCACACCGTAATAATAATAATAATAATAATAATAATAATAATAATAATAATAATAATAATAATAAATAAATGATGCTTTTTTGTAATATGCATATTTATAGTTTTTATGGTTTTTTCCGTTTCGTTTAATAGTTTAAACATAAAAAAAAAAGATTAAACCAAACTGAATAAACTAATAACCGGTTAAACCGAAAAATAAAACCCCCACCTACAATGATAACCTAGTCTAACAATAAAAAAAAAGTAATCACATCCCCTTCTCTAATTAACTTGCAACCATTTTTATATTTATTTTCATATGATAAAATAAATGACAACGAGAATTTAAAAAGTTTTGGTTTTTTATTATTATGATATGACTACTTTAAATGATGTTCTAGGGTGGTGTGGTGGTGTTAGTTTCAAAAATAATTTATCGAAAAGAAAATCAAAACTTAGGTTCTCACACAAATATTGGTTCTCAAAAGACTTTTTATTTTCTTCATATTTAGTCTATTTTTTTGGTACACCACATATATCATCTAACTTATTGAAACTATTTACATATCTACATTATAACTTACAGCAACTAAGCAACTATTGTATGGTAATATGTAAACAACAACTAAGCAACTACTAATCATAAGAGTAATATTTAAACAAATTCAACAATTTGTATAGTATATTGTGTAAGATATATATATAGATATAGATATATATATATATAGATATATATATAGATATAGATATCGATATAATTTCATATATAAAGTTTATGTAAAATATAGTAGGTGAAGTATATATATAAATTTTAATAGATCTTAACACTAAAAGATTCCCATCGGAATATTTAAATTATACCAAAATAATATATTATTAAAAATATATACATAAAATATATATTTATTATTATCGTATTTTTGTTATTATCATAATCATCAATTATTTTGAATTTTTCTAAAACATTAACATTATATACGTTCATGTTTTTAGCATATAAAAGTTAACATAAAACATATATGCTTTTACATAAATTTTCAGTAAAGTCTTAATATTTTAGTTCAATTATATAAAAAAAATTTCAATGAAACTTTTATTATATATATAGAAATAGATATATATATATAATATATATATATAATATATATATATATAGTATATATATATAAATCACAAGGACCTTAACAACAGTATCTTTTTGGATGTAAGGTTTTTGCTACAAATATTTGGTGAATTTGACACTTTTCGTCCCTAAAGTCAAAATTTTTACATTTTTGCGTTTTGATAAAGTTTTGTGCCTTTAGGTTTTTGCAACAAATCTTTAGTGACTTTGACACTTTTAGTCATTGCAGTAAAAACTTCTACATTTTGGTGTTTTTTCCACAAATCTTTAATGAACTTGACACTTTTCGTCCTTCTACTCAAAACTTTTACATTTTGATATAATAAACACAAAAAACTACCTTCTGAATTTTGTCACTATATTTTTCCAACTTTGGCAACTTTAACATTATTACCACAACATTTTTCATTTTTCTCCACCAGTGTTCCTTTTTTTTTGTACACTTTTGACGTTTAATTTTTGGAGTTGTTGACTTTCTCCCCTATTTGTGGTGATTTACTATTTCAACACATATCTTTTAAAGTTTGCCGATTTTTCCCATATTACCCCAAAAGCGGCGTAGCCGCGAGCTCTTTACTAGTTTATATAAAAGCACAACATAACCAACTAAAACTTTGAAAAAAAAAATACTTTTTGATTGTTTTTATAAATTTAGTTGGTATCTTGCCTTTTCTCGTTAATTTGATCAAAATATTGAAACTTTTCTAAAGATTACCCTTATATATAATATATATATATAATATATATATATATATATATATAATATATATATATATATATATATATATATATATATATATATCAAGGTTGTAAAAATCGCTCGGCGGTAGCTCAGCGGTCGACTGACGATAAGCGATTAATCGAATTAGGCGGGGATTAATCGGCGATTAATCGGGGACCCTTAATTATTAGTAAAATTATTTAAAAATTTAATATTCCCTAAAAAACTAAGTATTTGAAAATTTTAAATATTAAAAATTTTAAAATTTGAAAACTTTAGTTTAATATTTTAAAATTTGAAAGCTTAAAATTTTGAAAATTTTAAATTTTGGTGTAAAATTTGAAAATTAAAATTTTTTGAATTTTTTAAAAAATTCCCGCCTATGACCGCCGAGACCGCCAAGGGCCGCCAAGGACCGCCAAACCCGATTTTGACCGATTTTGACCAATTTCCGTCAAGCATCCTAATCGTAATCGGTTTATGGCCGCCAAACGATTAATCGCAGATTAATCGTCCGCTAAGGCCGATGTCTGCAACACGGATATATATATATATATATATATATATATAGATATATATATATATATAATATATATATATATATATATATATATTTGACAAATCATTTATAAACATACCACAACTTGTTTTATTATAAAGCATGGAAACACAATAGTTTCTCATTTCTAGGAATGAGAATTTGGACTAAATACGCTATTATTGGTTGTTGGCCACTTCAACTCCTTAATTTTTTTCTATGCGTCATTGTGAGTGTCATGGTGGCATGAACTATATGGATGTTCCTTTAATGTTGGTGTTCATCTTCTATTCTTTAACCTAACTATTACCCAAACATTTATACCTTATCTGGTAATAACCATCGGCTACCACACATACATTAAGAGTTAAAAATGAACTTTGAATGACAATTTAAATAGATAATCATTTTTCACTCTTTTTCATTTAAATGCATGTAATTCAAGGTTCACTTTTCACTTTCGATGGATGTGTGTTAGTCGATGATTGTTAACAGGTAATGTATGGAGGTTGGATAGTAGTTAGGTTACGAAATATAAGAGGAACACCAACATCATTGGAATTCCCACATAATGCATCTCACTCTGACACTCACAATGATGAATAAGAGGGGCATAGAGAATTTGAATTGGTAGCAAACAATAGGGAGTACTTAGTTCACCTTTCTATTCCTAAAAATTTAGAAACAATTTTATTTCCTTGGTTTTTAATAAAAAAAAGATGTGGTACGTTTATAAATGATTTGTTAATAATAAAATACATTAATTCAAGGGTAATCTTCAGAAAAGTCATAATATTTTGGTTATTTGTTAAAAGTTGGAAAATCCTTCGAAAAGTCGCAATATTTTGACCAAATTAACGAAAAAAACCAGATATCGGCAAAATTTGTGAAACCGGCCAAATAGGTTTTTTTCTTCAAAGTTTAGTTTGTATTATTAGGGATGTAAACGGATACCAACGGCGGCGGAAATCGTTGCCCCCACCCCAGCCCCAAATTTAACTGTTTCCCCCGACTCTGAATTCCGTTATTTTCCCACCCCCAATTGTAACATCCCAAAAATCGAGACCGAAAATTGTTATTTTAATTGTATTGTTTGTAAAATTTGTTTGAGGAAAACATTACTGATATCACATAAATCCATAAACCACAATTATATGTCTCAAAACCATATCATCAGATAGTAATAATATCATAGTACAATCCCAGAAATGTAACACCGTACATTTCAAACCAAATTTTTCATAATAAAACACAATAAACCACATGTCACATTTTCTCAAAATCACAAGTATCAAATTATCAACACATTTCAAAATTTTTTATCACAACTCCAGGATCCTCCAAAGACATATCTCCAACTCAGATGTGTGTACAATCAAGCCGGCGCCTTCCCGCGATCCTGATAAGAACCTGAAACACATAACACGGTAAGCACGAAGCTTAGTGAGTTCCCCAAAATATCACACATATCCCATTAGCCTCTCATGGCTATAACTCAGATAAGACTCTCCGGTCAATGTGTCTCAGTAGGACCCTCCGGTCCCACAACTTAGGTGGACCCTCCGGTCCTAACTCAATAAAGCTCAACACAACACACAACATAAATAAAAAAGACATAATGCAGGATATCATAATACTCAATATAAGCACATAAGACCCTTCGGTCATACAAATCACCACTCAAGGTATGTATAGTGAGAAGACTCACCTCGTAAGTAGGTGAGCAGGTAACCTCGCGCTCGGATCTCGAACTAGCCTCCGCCTAACACAAAGGATGAATATCTCTAATTAATACTCTTTTCACGACTTCAAGTAACCGAAGGCTACTCTTTCTCTCTCTAACTCTTTGAAGTGGATAAAAGACCATTTTACCCCTCCATGGTCTCTATTACTCATGTTGACCAAAACCCCAAAGTCAACAGAAGTCAACTCGAGTCAAAAGTCCATGTTTGACCCGACTCGTCGAGTGCACTCCTGCGACTCGTCGAGTCCCCCTCGTATCCTCAGAAGTCTCAAAAGTCCAGCTCAACTCGTCGAGTTGACCCCCAACTCGCCGAGTTATCGCACAATCAATCCATCGGGACAAACCCTCGCCGACTCGTCGAGTCAGTTCATGGACTCGGCGA